GGGCATGAAGGGAGGTTGCATTAACTCAGACTATATTCCGGTTCCACAATTGTGGAAGTATTATTTACAATGCCACAAAGCATAACAATAATTTTTATGTGTAATTATTTATTTATCTTTATGTAATGTAAAGGAAACAATTTCCTTATCAAACATTTATATGTTAAAACATCGGACTAACTTTTACAACGCCACATAATATAATAATAATGAGTGTATTTATAGCTTTATTTAAAAAATAATTAATTTATATGTTGTAAGCATAACGATTTTTGTATTGAACATCGTTTAAATGTTTAAAAATTAAAATGCAGTGTAGTTTGAAATTTTCAAAGGATAAAACTGTTATACCTTGTGTTTTTCATGCATTCATTCCTGATGAGGGCCTCTGAAAGACAGATGAAAACATTTGAACATTAAATTTTATTTGTTCATTATATGCTGGAATTCACATTTAGGTGTCAAGTTGTTAGTTTATTATATAGTTCCAGTTTAAGTGTGCCAGTTTCTTTATGTTTGAAAGTTTCCTTAGTAAACAGATTATAAATTTAAATTCACTTCAGAAACATACTGACTGAATATTTCCGAAAATTGAAGCAACTAATATGTAATAGTGTTTTTAAACATTTTTCTAATAGTATCATCCCTAACATTATAACTATTTCTTTTGATACCCTTCCTTTATCAATGTATAACTTAAGTTTATTCACTACTTATACATTTAGTAACACACACAAAAAGTATTCACAAATTAGAAGAAACAAAATGTCTTCACATTGTCTCTTTTCAACTCCTCAGGAACAGAACATCTTTATGGTCACAGTTAACCTTTTATTTGCCTCAATATATAAAAACGTTAAAAATATTATTTATTAATTAATATATTGTGCAATTGTCCAGGAGATCTTTAATGATTTTATGTATCAAGGTGGATGAGTAGCCTCAAATAAATGGTTGACTCTGCCTGTACAGAATGTTGTGTTCTTGAGGTGTTGAAAAAGGATAGAATATGAAAATATTTTGTTTCTAATTTGTAAATATTTTTATATTTTATTATTATTATCCTGGCTTTGTCTTTATTAATTATATATTAGAAATATTATGGACATATGTTCCATGTATGTTTTGTAGCATGTCTGAATTGAAATTGCAGCACCAATAGTGTGCCATTGGCATCCCAGCTAGAAACCACTAATGTAACATTTCACACAATACATAATAAAAAATTGATTTTATTTTAATTCACAAAATAATATTCAATACTATTTCAAGTTTTTTCCAACTACAGTAGAACCTCGAAAACTCGGCTCTCGATAACCCGGCACTCCGGATAACTCGGCCACACCCTGGCAGGGCAAAAAAATCCTTAGTTAATTAATTTTCATTATAGACAGCTTTATAAAAGTATAAAAGCTCTCATAAAGTATTTTTCTGAGGTCTGTCTTATCAGGTAAATTACTGTACACAGTGTATTCATTAATTTTCATTTTCATGTAGTA